CACTAAAGAAAAATGTGTTAATAAGAAATTGTTTATGTTCAATCAGATACAGTTGTACACAAAACACCAAATAAATATCTAATCCTATTCAAAGACAAAAACTGTTCAATACAAAAAGAAAAAAAAAACAATAAAATTTCAATCAATCTAGCATTTGACTAAATTCTGTAGCCAAAGTCATAATATAACGTAATTTTTCTCGATTTAATTTTTCATTTTTATTCATATGAATATGTATTTCAATTGAATGTTGTTGTTCAATTTGTTCAATATAACCTAATATACATCGAAGTTTATAAAAATCATCATTTTTATAATGAATAGGTGAATATGTTCGTATAATATGTATTTCAATATCATTATATTGAAATATATTTGTTATAATACTATATGAAATAATAGGAATAATATATTCTTGTAACGGAAGTGTTAATGGATGTGTTGGATCAAGTAATAATTCATTTTTAAATATTAATGAATAATTTTGATTATTTATTGTTGAATATGAACGAAATTCATAAAGAATATCTGGACGATAAGATGATATTTGTTGATGAAAACATTTAAAGAAAATTTTTGGTAAATTATCAATAGATTTTATTCGACCATTTTTATCAAAATGTATACAAATTTCATTGTTTGTATGAGTATTTAAACAAATAAGAATTATTTCACGTTGATGATCAATAAAATTCATTTTAAACCATGGAAATACTAAACATAAACCATTTGAAGTTAATTCAATATACTAAAAATAGAATGTAAATTTAATAAAAATTCTTTTTCTTTTTTTTTGTTTTTTTAAATAAATATTTTACTTCTTGTTTAATTGTATGATTAGATTTATAAAATATTTGTTGTAAACAATGAGAATTATCTTTAGTTATTTCAATTCGTTCAAGAATTGTTGATGGAAAAAATGTATCAAATAATGGAGGTAAAAAATGATTATTTAATAAAGAATCTAATGTATTTGGATATTGTTTATGAATGAATAATTGTTCTTTATATTGTAATAAATAAATATATCCAAATGAAATAATTATTTTTGATAATTCATTATCATTTATTGAATATTGTAAAGAAGAAAATTGTTCAAAGAAAAGAGAAGATAACGATGGTAAACATGCTTTGAAATTTTCATTAGATAAATGATCAAGTTCAATACGAAGACGAATTAAATCTTTATGTTCGGAATAGAAAGGTTTTGTTGATGAACATAATTGTATAGACGAAGATAATGATATCATACCATCAATTAGAAAAAATTGATCTGGAATTTTATTATAAATTATCGGTGAACTGTCGCTCTAAATCAAACAAAAAACAAACATCTATTGAATAATATTGTACTGTGATTTTCTGCCCAAATCTAATAATTTGTGCAAGTTTATGCTCAACAAGTTCGATGCTATATGCAAAGTATTTAACATCAATAGGTAGAAAATTTCAGGGTCTGTGCTTCTAAGATCTTCTCAAGGCGCCTAATAATGTTGTTCAGGTGTAAAAGGTTTAGAACTAACACCTGGTGGTATTTTGGAGTGTTTTTTCTAAAATTATGAAATATCACGAGATGAAGCATTTCATGATATATCCTCGCAGTGTTTTTCGAATTTCAGCGAAACTGTTGTTTAAACATATTTTTGATAATTGTTTTGTTTTCTGACAGTTGCAGTTCAATGGCTGAGTAATTGTCAATCTTTTCGATTTTTCTTCGAACAGGAGAAGTCTATTTGAAGAACAAAAGCGATAGTTTTATAGAGCGAAAAATTCTCTATCGAATGAGCTTAGTATAGTGTCTTTAAGCTGTGTTGCTGCCTTTAGAAAAAGAAAATCAAAGTGTACCATTCTTTATGGATCAACCGTTTACAACATAAAGGTTGACACTTATTTTTCATTGTAACGAATGTTACAATGACTTTTTAATAGTTAAGAATAAAAAATTGCTCAATAAAAAGAAAATCTTTTTATAATTATTGAATGAAGCATTCTCAGACCGAATAGATGCAGTCGTGAATAGAGAAATACGGTGTTTTATATGACCGAATATGTCGATGATATTCTTCAAATACGACAAATGTAATACTGAGAAAGAGGAAAAGTACTTTTAAGATTTTTTTTTCCAACTTTAATTTTTTATTATTTCATCTTGGGTGCTTCTACACAATACACGCAACTCTTCATCCGCATTCAGTACTTTGTTGCTAGAGATCACACACATTGATGTATAGTCGAAGCAGTCAGCGGATGGAATACGTAAATTTTGTAAAAAAACTACATATCAGATAGAAATTGAGAATGAGATTGTCACCGGTCTGGAGCAGCGTCTATTCTTTATTGAGAAAAAATAATGTGAAATGAATGCTGAAATATTATCGCGTTGATACTATTTTTCTTACATCATTTTTTCGATTGATAACATAGGAACATTTATTCTATATAAATCATGGAGTGTTCTGCGAAATGTGCTACAGAATAACGATTTCAAATCATTTAGAAAATTTCGTTAATTAGACAATAGAGTTTAATTGATCATTTGAATATACACAGTCAGAATATATATTGTTCACATTACAGAAGTTATTATTGGTCAAGGGACCAGAAATAAGTGTCCATGATTTGGGATAAGTAGATACTCTTTATGGAGAGGCTCTACTGTAAATATGTATTTTCTTTCGTAATAAACTTACATTTATCGAAATTGAATTTTGAGTAAGTGATAGTGGAGAACCTGGATGTAATTGTATTGATTTATCAGTTGATGTACATAAAATATCTGGTTGATCAATTATATTTTTAGGTGGCTAAAATTTAAGAATATCGAAGAGAAAAATTAATCTTATCCTCTTACTGAAGTATCAGGTGTTAATAATTCCTGTTCATTATCATTGATATTTAATTGAGCAAAAATTTCTTCAAGTTTATCAGTTTTTCCATTTATAAAATTAAGTGCATTACGATAAAGTTTACCAACAATAGATTCTGATGGATATGATTTTTTTTCATCTTTTCCTAAGAAATCTGGATATTTTTGTCCATATTTTTCGCGAATTTTTTGAATACGTTTTTTATCAATAATATAACCTGTTTTACCAGAATCGACTATAAAGACAAATTCTTTTTTTTTTTCAAAATCTTTTATATTTAAAATAATATAAAACAAACCAGCTGATGAAAACATTCGAGCTAATTCAATAGCTAACGGTTGACATGTTCGTTGTTGATAATTTTCATAATTTTTATCAACAATTATAGCATGTAAATTATATATTTCACCTGAACTCGTCATATTTAATGTTGAAAGACAATAATTAATAACATCTTCGGGAGAAATAGGTGTCGATTGATATTGTTTTGCATCTGGTGTATAATCAAGTGGTTTAACTTGACATTTAAGACGCAATTCTTGTCCCCAATAGACCTTTTATAAATGAAATTGAATCGAACAAAACAAAAACACCTGTTTAGAAGATTAACTTACAAAATATCCATCACCATCAAGATCAGATCCAGCAATTTTATTAAAATCAGGTCCTAAAATTTCATTTTTATCAAGTGAAAAATGATCTAATTAACATACTTACGTTCACCTCGAACTGAAAAAACAATAACATCATTTAAATGATATAATTCTGGTAAATCAACTGCCCATAATTCTAACATATCTCCAGCATATGGACTTAAAATTTTAAATTATATTATAATTAAGAATGATATTAGAAAAAAAAAATTTTACCAAGGATTTTTTGTAACAATAACTCTTCCTCGTACACATTCAAATTTTGGATTTGAACATGATTTACCATTTTCATTTAAAATTTGATAACGAATAAAACATTGTCCTTCTTCAAGTTGAGATTCTAATGCACAACCATAAATATATCGACATTCATTAACAGGTAATGGAATTTTATTTTTTAATAAATCACTAAAAGAAAATCGTTTCGATATATAATATTTGAATAAAAGTAATGGTACTTTAGTTCCTATGGGATATTTTACTGCTCTTAGAACTCTCTAACAAGGGAATTACCCGAACTGACACTCATCGTTTCAGCTCATATTGAGTTCACAATGAGATTTCGGTAAGACTAGAAAAGTTTTATAAATGTTCGTGTCCATGGACTTCTGAAGCCGAGTTATAACAATTTTACTCAATTTTCGATTCAGTTTTAGGTACTTATGGAAAAATCAAATAACTCATAGATAGATCTAATGAGTTGGGGAATATCCTGAAAATTTTAGTCGCAAAGAATGCTCGTTTGTCAATATATTGAATACCTAAAAAATAGTCGTTTGCCACAAAAAATGCGTTTCACTTGAAATCCAATATCTCAATAAAGAGATATGCTTGTCGACTAAAACTTTCAGAATATTCCAGGAGTCTTCAGATCTATCTATGAGCAAAATTTCAGATCGAAATTCCATGATTCGATTTTTCGATAACTACCTAAAATTGAATCGAAAATTCAGCAAAATGGTCATAACTCGGCTCCAAAGGCATACGGACACGAACCCTCTTAGAATTTTTCTAGCATTGTCAAGGCCTTATGAATCCTACCTGAGCTCAAACGATAGATATCACTTCGGGTGGTATCCTCATAAGTTGTGATGTAGAGCAACAACTTGACTCCAATCGGTCGAAATACTATCTCATCCAATACTTCAATGTTTTTTGTTTACCTTATTAAAAAAACTTCTTAAGAAACGATTTTATTCAAAAGTAGATTTGTAAATGTCGTCTAGAATCGGTTGCTTTATCATTTTTATTGATGCGAAATTCATCAACTGATCAAATTATAGTAGAATACGACACATTTTGTTAGACAAAACCTATATTAAATACTAGAAGAATAAGTGTTAAGCTGTGAATAATTCCAATAATATAATCAGAAAAATATATTGGAAGAGTTCACTCTTCTGATCATGTGTGTAGAGAAGCGGAGACTTTCTGGTTATGCTCTTAGAAAGGACTTAAGCCTTTTTTTAAGTAGAACGTAATTGCTGGTAGAAAGGCTTGAAACATTCTAAGCGAAATTGAGTTTCTCTGTCTAATTACGCGACTATATAATTCCTAGAATATATCTTGTCTCTTAGAATTCTAATTTATTTAATTGACAAATATCTAAAATATGATAATCATTAC